TAAAAAAAAAAAAAAAAAAAAAAAGAAAAATAGCAAATCATTTTAGGTTAAATAAAAACCTTTAGAGATTGGCAGTTACCAAATGCCTTCCCAAATGCAGTCTGTCTGTCACACTGAGATTTTTTGCTGATGCTAAGAAAAAATCTCCTTGTCAAGTTAACCAAATGGGTCTGATTTTCCAGGAGGCCATTTCTAGGGCCAGGACTGAAAGGCTGACTTCAGGTAGAGAGCTACTTTTCTACATGAACAACAGAGGAACTTAAGCTTACATGAAAATAGTGATCGAAATGCTTATATTTTATGCAAAATTAATGTACCTTAAGTTAGATGTAATTGCTATGCAGTATCCATCCCCAGTCCTGATGGCGCTAGCAGTGGCCTCTCTTCTCAGGAAGAGAAAATTCAGCTTGGTTTGTTGAATGGGCTTTATGACCTCTGCGCATCCTGTGAGTTGGGTCTCAGCTTCCCAAGACTAGAGCTGGTAAAGCACATTCTGAAGCCTGGAGGCTGTAGGGAGGCTGAGGTGGGAGGATTGCCTGGGGCTAGGAGTTCGAGGCCGTAGTGCACTGTGGTCGTGCCTGTGAATAGGCACCACACCCCAGCCTGAACAACATAGCAAGATCTTGTCTCTTAAAAAAAAATAATAGCCGGGCGCGGTGGCTCACGCCTGTAATCCCAACACTTCGGGAGGCCGAGGCGGGCAGATCATAAGGTCAGGAGTTCGAGACCAGCCTGGCTAATGTGGTGAAGCCCCATCTCTACTAAAAACACAAAATTAGCGAGGCACGGTGATGCACACTTGTCATCCCCAACTACTCAGGAGGCTGAGGCGGAAGAATCACTTAAACTCAGGAGGCAGAGCTTGCAGTGAGCCAAGATGACACCACTATACTCCAGCCTGGGCAACAAGAAACAAGGGCGAAACTCCGTCTCAAAAATAAGACAAAACAAAACAAAACAAAACAAAACAACAATACAGCATGGACTCTAAACCAGGCCAGGGAGACCTTTTAAACTGCGTTTGACTTGGGCTTTCCCAGTATTACCTGAAGGAGGAAATCTTTCTCTTCTGCAGGGTACCCGTATGAGCGAGAGGCACTCACTGTTGCATTTTAATCCTGTCTCCTCCAGGGGTGTTTAGGGCACCACTGCCAGCAGCCGGTCAGACCTGGTCCACAAGTCACTTCTGGATTTTCCTTTCTCACCTGTAGATGGACTGAACGGCTTCACAAGCTCTTGGCTTTGCCTGGGCACCTGTTGTTTCTGCTTGTCCCTTGCCTCTAGCTGAGTTGGGAGCAGGGAAGGACACAGACAGCTTCAATTGCAGCCAGGCTGGTAAACACACCTTGCCTGGCCTGGGCCCTGGAATGCCCACAGAAGACAGAAACCCTTGAGGCTTGTCTGGCTTGCTAGGTGATGGGCGGTAACCAGGGTGGTCACAGTCCCTCATACTGTTGCCTGCAGTATGGGCAGACCTCATTTTTGTTCTCAGACAAGATCATTATTGCTCAAGAGCTGTCAGCCTGTGCGCAGCATATTTTGATGTGGAGTGAGCCTACCTGGGTCATGGTCTGACCTCACGGGCCCTCAGCCCAGGTCCCCATCACCCCCTCTGAGGTCCAGGCTTGAGTGACTGCAGCCCAGGCAGGGGAGGCCAGGCCTGTGTGTTCCAAGCAGCAGAGAGCAGGCTGCGATCCTGTGAGTACAGAAGGCCGGAGGGGCTGCGTTCACGCCTGTAATCCCAGCACTTTGGGTGTGTCAGGCTCATTCTGCCAAGGTGAGGTCTCAATCTGTCAACTAGAGACATTTAGTCAAAGGAGACTCCTATATTATTTCACAATAATTCTGGGTCACTTTGCTTAGAGAGGTTAAGGAGCTTATCAGGTCACAGAGCCAGCAAGAGTCGGAAGTGACATTAAATGTGGGCCTTGCTGGTTCGAAAGCTGTCGTTCCTACCACTGTTTTACCGGCTCCCAAATACCTCTCAGCAAGTTTTCATTGGCTTGTGGGAAATCAGAAAAATAAAGACAAGCAGTATTTTTTTTTTTTTTTT